CAAATAAGGACACCTTATATCTATTGAAAAGCTTCTAGCACTATAGCTAGGCAGACATTTATTCTAATTCTAACATGTCTATGGCTGCCTATTACCCAGTCATGCCCCATTACTTGCCATCTTAGTCTCGCTGTGGCTGCACCTCCTCCATCAGTATCCTCATGGAGACTCTCATCTAACTCCTCTGGTCCCCACCAGAGATCCTCTCACTGGGATCAGAAATCCTGCCTCCTCTCCTACCCAACCATTGGCTGATTAGCTCTTTATTAACCAATCAGACATGATGGAAAACAATTTTACACAACATTGAAACACGAGATGCTTGAAAATGCCAATGTCTAGATTGCAGCCAGATTTCTGGGCACAGTAATCAACATCTGAATACACCGTTCACAAAACCATCCCAACACACACATACGCACACACACATGCACACTCACACGCACACTGTGGTGATTTGAATATGCCTGGCCCAGGGGTTTATGACCCTCATCCTAGCTCCTTGGAAGCCAGTCTTCTGCTTGTCTTCAGAATAAGATGTAGAACCCTCAGCTCTTCCTACATCATGCCTGTCTGGACAAAGCCATGCTCCTGGCTTGATAATGGACTGAACCTCTGAACCTGTAACCCCGTCCCAGTTAAATGTTATCCTTAAGACAGTTGCTTTGGTCATGGTGTCTGTTCACAGCAGTCAAATCCTAAGACAGAAGTTGGTACCAGGGACTAGGGTTGTCTTAGGATTTGACTGCTGTGAACAGACACCATGACCAAGGCAACTCTCATAAGGATAACATTTAATTGGGGCTGGCTTACAGGTTCAGAGGTTCAGTCCATTATCAAGCCAGGGTCCACACCCATAGTGCCACACTTTCTGCAACAAGATCACACCTCCTAATACCACTCCCCAGGCCAAGCATATACAAACTATCATGTCGCTACCCGCTCCGACCCACAGAATGAGACGGCAACACACGGAGCTCTTCTCGAAGCCGTTTATTCAGGAACCCTGTCTTCTTCTCCAACAGCCCCCGAGCCTCTCTCCATGGTCCTTAAATCTCCTGCCTCCACCACTCAGATTCTGCCATGAATGTGTTCTCAATTGGCTCAGTGCAGCGCTCGTTAGATGGTCTGATCTTACGTAGCAGCGAGTCTGTGCAGTGCTAACTGCGGACCGGGCTTTCCAAGGGTGTATGAGGAAGTCAGGCACCATTTTGGACTGGCCGCCGCACCCGCTCCTCACACTATCACATTCCACTCCCTGGTTCCCATAGGCCTGTTCAAACACATGAGTCTATGGGGGCCATACCTAAACATAGCAAAATTTAAAAAGCACATTTAGTCCAATTTCCAAAGTCTCCATTGCTTAAAGCAGTTTCAACAATGTTAAAAGTCCAAGGTTCAAAGTTTCTTCTGAGATTCATCCAATCACGTAATGCTAATCTCCAAATCAAGACAGGAAACCATTGAGGAAACTCCAAACTCTGCATCTCCATGTCTGGATGTCAAAGCAATCTAAAGATCTCCAACTCCTTTTTCATCTTTGTTGACTGCAATAAAGTTCTTTCTCCTGGGCTGGTTCCACTCCCTGTTAGCAGTTTTCCTCAGCACGTATCCCATGGCTCTGGTAACTCTAACATCTTGGGGTCTCCAAGTCAACTTCAGCTTCACAGCTTCTTGTTCCAGTGTCTGGGACCCACACGTGATCTTCTGCGCTTCTCCAAAGGGCTTGCATCACTTTTCCAGCTCTGCTCTCTATAGCATTCTAGGCTCTGGTTGACTCCACTCCACTGCTGCTGCTGCTGTTCTTGGTGACCATCCCATGGTATTGGCATCCAGTATACTAGGGACTTCAGCTGCAACCAGGCTTCACCAATAGCCTCTCATAGGCTCTCTTCACGGTGCCAAGCCTCAGCTTCTTTGCATGACCCCTTCAGTCCTGGGCCGTCAACTGCAACTGAGGCTGCACCTCCACCAATGGCCTTCTAGGGCCTCTCACAGTGCCAAGCCTCAGCTGCTTTTCATGATCCCTTTATGCCTTCAAAACCAGCACCACCTGGGTGACTCTTACACATTACCAAGTACAGCTGCAGCACGAGGTACAACCTTGGCTAGCTCTGCATCACAGCTTCTTTGTGCTCTCAGAAAATACTTCCCAGATTTCACCTCAGTGATGCTGGTCTCTTCTTAACCACCACTAATTTCTTAGCTCTGGCTAACCAGCATCAGTTGTCACAGTAGTCCCTTTTATTTTGGACTCTAAAGCCAGAGCCACGTGGCGAAGCTGCAACCAGGTTCTGCTGCTTGCTGGGGCTGAAACTTGGTCCCCCTTGTTCTATTACATTATCACCAGCTTTCTGTTTTCCAACTCCTTCACTGCCTAAGCTTGGCTGTGATAGGCTTATGCATGGTGTAGCCCATGCATAGAATACCACTGAAACCAGACTTGGTGAATGTTCACAATCCCAGGTCATGGGAAGCTGATGCAATAGGATGACAACAAATTTGAGGCTAGCCTGGGCTACTTATCAAAACCCTGTCTCAAAACAACAAAAACCTCTGAAGAAGCAGAATGACAAACAGCTTAAATTCTATGAAGACCTAAATTGTAAAATTATTTAAAACTTCAGACAGGTTTTAGCTTACATACTCTTTTTTTTAAATTGTTATGTTTTGTTGTTTTGAGACATTGTTGCACAGTATTCTGTTATGTAAATATTCCCTAACTTAGCCAAGGCACTCTGCTCTTTACTGGCTCTTGCATTGCTCCCAGCAGAAAGATATTATGAATATTATTAATAATACTAGCATAGCTTTTCTATTCTTGCAACACTGAGGATCAACTCCAGGTTTGTATGCATAGCAAACATTTCCCCCACTAATACTCAGCCCCATATAAACATTTTTGCATTAGAAATATGGTGGTCATGAGCAGTCATAATTATTGACTAACACCTAGTGACGGAATTTTTTAGGCATAAAGTGTTATACTCTTTCTGAAGGTACAGTTACTTGCCATGTAATGACTTTGAAGTCAGTTATAAACCACATATTTAGAAATAGTCTCACAAAATCCTTATTGCCTAATGCTGGGCACAATGCTACTGGATTCCTATAATCCTACCATTGTAGAGTCTGAGGAAGATCATGAACTTGAGACAAAACCTGACTATAAAGCTCTTGTAGTGTAGCAGTTTCCTCTGAGATAGATAGTACATGTAATGAACATGTACTTAGCATACATGAAGACTCCAGGTAAATCCTCAGCAGCAGCAACAACAAAACAAACAAAACACATAAAACACTAGTTTTTATAAGTAAGCTCTGATGTTTACATAACGAGAAGTCCCTGTGGCTAGGCGTTATCACACATCACTGTATGTCCCATGTTACTATACACATAGTTGTGTTTTGTCTTACTTTGTTTTGAATAACCAAGCCATTTTACAGTCCCAGAATGAATGTGTGGAGATTCTACTGCTCTGCATATTCACCAGTTCCTTATTTGGAGGATGATACCTCAGAGAACAAGCTACACAAAGGTGGCTCTCCTGGGACAAGTACGGAGATGGATTTTCTAGTTTTGACCCTTTCTGGAGCCATTGGTGGTACTATCATGTTCCTCTTGATCTATATATTGTATTTTTAGTCTTGTAAAATTTCTTTCTTTTGGCTATAACAGTTTCAAACTAAAGTCTTTATAACATAAGGGTGCCAACTCCTACTACAGGGAGGCCAAAGCCTCTTCTCCAGCCAATTGATAAAAAGAGGGAGGTTTAGGTCCTTCTTAGGCAAGTTTTACTCCTCTCATTAGCATAGAATTTATAGAAGACTGATCATCTCTCAGCTCCTTAAAACGACGTCTGGAACCACTGCTCTCCAAGACATTGTGGCAGGAGAGTAGGGTGTGCTTCCCAGATATTCCGTCCATGTCTGCAGCTAGGAACATTCTTTCTTAACAAATGATCTCCACCCACATCACTATCAGTGTGCCTCTGTTCCTTTTTTTTTTTTTTAATTCTGGAACGAGAACCCAGAAATCTTACTGGGCACGTTTGGGAAGCCCTATTAGCTATGCCCTATTGCAAGTTGCCCTATATTGTAGAAAGCAGTGGTTTTTGCCAGGCTGTACCCTGCCCTGGGAGACTCCACTTTATTTCGAGATGGGGTCTCCCTATGAACCTCTGACTGAACTGGAACTTCCTATGTAGATCAGGCTGGCCCCAATTCATACCTGCTTGCTTCTGGAAACTTCATCCTACATGTAGCTTCTGACTCCATTTTGAGGGAGATGACTGCAGCCTCTGGGTACACCAAAAACAGTACCATCTGCCAGCAACTATCTAGTTGTTTGTTTGTTTCTTACAGACTAAGAGGTGGCTTATTCCCGAGAGCAGAAAGGGAATCAATCTGTAAATTTATTGGGATAAATCAAAACTATGGCAGCACATGAGTTATCAAAATCCTATCAGGAAAACCAGATCCAAGAACTTACCAGATATGCCAGATCAAGGAAATGGTCGACCTCCCCAACCTGGGGCCCATTACAAAACGGACACCTAACACTGCAACGAAGGCCCGATATCAACCTATCATCTAATAATTGGTGTGTGCATCAAGAACCAGAAAACACAGGATGCTCTTATTGTGGAGCTTCATCCTGGCGTGGCACCTCAATTTTGTACGTTAGCTTCCATTACCATTATTTTGTACTAACTTTATTGTTTTTTTGTTTTTTTTTTTAAGAAAACATACAGAACATGTCATCCCCAAACTCGGGAAGCTGAGTTAGTAAAGGCCAGTTTAGGTTGTACTTGAAAAATGAAAAAAGGGCTGGAGGGAGGAAAATAAATTGGAAGAAAGGAGAGGGAAAAGAAAAGAGAAAGAGGAGAAGAGACAGCTGCGAGAGGACCACTAGCCATTTGCGTTATGAGTGTGGAACGTCTCTGGCTGCCTCCGGGACACCGTACTCTTCCGGTCCCAGAAGGCCCGTGACGGAAGTCGTCATTGGACGAGCCCGGCAGCGTCCGTGGTAGCAAGCCATGGCGATGGGCAGCGGTGGCGCGGGCTCCGAGCAGGAAGACACGGTGCTGTTCCGGCGTGGCACCGGCCAGGTGAGGTCGCAGGCGGGCGCTAGCGGTCGGAGCGCTGACCGAGGCCGTGCGGGCTCGCTCGGACCACGTGTTACTATCACATCCGCAGGCCGCTCCTGGTGCAGCTTGGGCGCCGGAGAGGCTGTGAGCCACGCTTTGGTCCTGTGTGACTGTAGAGGATGTGCGGGAACGGGGACAGGCTGGCTGAAGCAATGAAGCAATTTAGGAGTCATTGAAAAGCTCCAAATTTAGGTCAGGATGAACATGGTAACAGTGACTTTTGACTAAAATGCTGAATTCGGGATTATAGTTTTATAACCAGAAGGACCAAGTGTCGCAGATAACAATTGATAAAGTTCGAGAGAAAAGAATAAGTAAAGTTGCCCTGAGTAGTTGAAAAGTTGCTACTGACTGCAAGTGCACTGGGAGTAAAACCCTTGGGAGATGGAGGCAGGAGGGTCAGTAGTTCAAGATTGTCCTCGGTTACAGTGTGCACTCCGGACCAGCCTAAACTACAGTGAGACTCTTTAAAAGTAAAACAAACACTTTTAAATGCGAGGGAAGAAATCAGAGCCAAGTTGGTGGACTGTGCCAGTGATCAGTCCCAGAGGTTGAGGCTAGCCTGGGAAACAACCCGTACCCCATCTAACAAAGCTTAAAACGTGAGGAGCTCAGTCTTAGTATGGCATGACAACTGATTAATTCTTGGAGCTTAGGTTAGGAGAAAAGAATTCTGGGCAGCATTTGGCAGTGTTGCATTTTCTTCTTTTGGGGACACCCCAGCAATTCCTATCCTGAAGAAAGCTTTGCCGTTCTTCCTCAGTGGTGTTCCTCCTCCTGGTAGTCTGGTTCTTTCCTTAAACCATGTTTCCTGTGCTTATCTGTCATCTTGGTAACTTCTTCAAGCCCAGGGTGGTGGCTCATGTTTACAGTCCCAGGGGTAATCTTACTTATTGCAGTTTGTTTTTTGTGGCTGTTTTGTTGTTTTTGTTTTGAGACAGGTCTCACAGTGTAGCCTTAGCAGACCCGGAACTCTCCTTGTAGGCCAAGCTGGCATCAAACTCACAGAGATTGACCCGTCTCAGCCTCCCTGTGCTGGGGTTAAAAGGGTGGAATACCATACCTGGTTTTGAAGTTTATTTAGCTTTTTTTCCCCCTCCATTTGAATCAGGGTCACATTCCATGGCCTAGATTGGGCTGGAATTCAATATGCAGGCTAGACTGGCCTGGAGCTCTTGGCGACCCTACTGTCTCTGGCTCCTGGATGTTGGGATTGTAGATTATAGATTCGAGGCATTTTTAATATGTAGTTCATGGTTTTGTTTATTGATGTGTGTGTTTGTTTGTTGTGATAGTCTTGCGTTGCATTCTATGCTGTCTAGGAACGCACTGTACAGCCCAGGCTAGACAGCCCATGCCAGTCTAGCTCATGCCAGTCTTACCTTGGCAGTCCTGCTTCTACTGAGTACACCAAGGCTTTCTTAGGTGCTGGGATCTGCTAGGTTAGTGAGTGGTGACTTTCTAGAACTATATCCCTCTATATCACATACATTCTGAGCGTCTGGGTTATAGGTATGTGTCAGAGGTTGATCTAGGGACTTTGAACTACTTCCCAGGTACTTTTATTGTGTGTTTTTAAAAATTAAACACATCTGTCTATAAATTATTTGTATTTTTTTCCCTCTTCAGAGTGATGATTCTGACATTTGGGACGATACAGCATTGATAAAGGCTTACGATAAAGCTGTGGCTTCCTTTAAGGTATGAGATGTTTAATCTTTTCCTTATCTCCTCATGGCATACATTTTAAAAAAAAAGAAAAAAAGAAATCTGCGTACATTGAAGCTTTCTTAGATGGTGGGACCTGTTATGTAAGAAAGTGGTGACTTTGTAAAAGTGTATCTCTCCATGACACATAGACTTCTGTTACTGTTTCCATAGCATGCTCTAAAGAACGGTGACATTGGTGAAACTTCAGATAAGCCAAAAGGCACAGCTAGAAGAAAACCTGCTAAGAAGAATAAAAATCAAAAGAAGAATGCCACAAGTCCCTTGAAACAGGTGATGGATTGATTTGAACAGGGTCCTGCCCACCGTGCGGGGAGGACTGATGATACTGTTCACAGTGCCTGAGAGCTGTGAATGAGTCACACACACACACACACACACACACACACACACTTGTGCACATATATATGTACATGCTGGTATTAAACCCAGAGACCCTTGCATTCCGAATATGTTGCTATGTAGCTGATCTGTAACTCTACTCCTCCTCATTCCCCCCCCCTCCCCCCCCCCAGTTTTAACAATTTAAAAAGTTGTTAGGGTAAACCAAAACTTCTGTTAACTAGGGCTGCTATTTGAAGGCAGAAGACCTCGGCGGGAGTTTAGTGTAGCAGCAGAGCACTTGGCTGGCACAGGCCCACTCGGCCTGTGTGTCCCTGATCAAACCCACACTGAGTCAGAACAAAACACTATAGACTAGAGGATCTCTCTCTCTCTCTCTCTCTCTCGATATCTCTCTCTCTCTCTCTCTCTCTCTCTCTCTCTCGAGTTTTTTTTGTCAAGTGAATAGTTTGATGCCTCGTCCTTCGATTCATTATCACCAAAGGGAAAGGGTGTTTACATTTGGTGAGCACTTGCTTTTATTTGACTCAGAGCAAAGGATTCGTTATACACGTTTGGTCTTTTTTTGTTCTCAGTGACAAGTTTAGGTGGTAGAATACATTGCAGCCATTCGTCAGACTGGGAAGAGAGGATGCGGGTGACTAAGAATAGTATTTGTAATTAAGTAGATGGGAGGATTGGAATTACACTTGGAGAACTGGGTTATGGTTTGTTCTTTCAAAAGAAGTAATGTGCATGTCTGTATCTTTCATTTCTTTTGTAGTGGAAAGTTGGTGACAAATGTTCTGCCGTTTGGTCAGAAGACGGCTGCATATACCCAGCTACCATTACGTCAGTTGACTTTAAGAGAGAAACCTGTGTCGTGGTTTATACTGGATATGGAAACAGAGAGGAACAAAACCTATCTGATCTACTTTCTCCGACCTGTGAAGTAGCTAATAATACAGAACAGAATACTCAGGAGGTGAGGTCATGAAAGATGTCCATTCCTGAAAGTGGACAGAGAAGGGAAAAAGCACTATCATTAGTTGTCACGTTGACACACTAACGTGTTAAATGGCGTTCTCATTCTCTCTGGCTTTCTCTGGAACACGAGGTCAGGGCCATACAAATGCTAGTCAAGTGCTCTGACTTTGCATAATAAAATGTTTGTTTTTCTTTGTAAAGAATGAAAGTCAAGTTTCCACAGATGACAGTGAACACTCCTCCAGATCTCTCAGAAGTAAAGCACACAGCAAGTCCAAAGCTGCTCCCTGGACCTCATTTCTCCCTCCGCCACCCCCAGTACCAGGGTCAGGATTAGGACCAGGAAAGGTAAGTGTTGTACTGAGAAAACTGTGCCTGTGGAAAATAACGAGTCTTGGGAGCCTGACTCTTCCATTAAGTAGTGGATAGCTTTCCTGCGAAATGGTAGCTTCCAGGCCTGAGTCTGCAAAGAGGAAATGCACAGTGAAGTCACAGCGTCAGGAGTAAGAGGCTCCTCATACGGCTGGCTGGCTAGTAACTAGTACGCTTTCTTTTTTTACAGTCTTTTTTTACATTTGTAGTGTGTGTGTGTGTGTGTGTGTGTGTGTGTGTGTGAGAGAGAGAGAGAGAGAGAGAGAGAGAGAGAGAGAGAGAGAGAGAGGGAGAGAGGTCCACACAGTGGAAGGAAAGACCCTGTTCTTGTAAGCTGACTTCTGACTTCCACAGATCCTGGTGCCTCCACCTATAAATGACGTAGGATTGTAGGCTTATGCCAGGCACCACCCCTTGTTTATCCCAGAGTATAGTACAGCGTTAAAGTGTGAACACTGCATGGTTCTTTTGGCTATAAGTAGTGGAAGTCAACTTAAAAAGAATTTTATTTATAGGTTAGGTTAGGGCTAGAAGAACCTTAACTATTAACTATTGGTTTTTTTTTTTGTTTGTTTTGTTCTAAGTAGCAGTATTTTTTCTCAGAGAGTATGGTATTTAGATAATTCATGTGTGAGTGTGTGTGTGTGTGTGTGTGTGTATGTGTATGCTATGTGTGGGTACTAGCCAGAACTCTATACTGAGCATCTTCCTCAGTCACTCCCTTATTTTCTGGGACAGAGGATGTCAGTGAACTTGGAGCTTGCTGATTCAGCTAGACTGGCAGGCCAGAGCCCCAGGGATCCTGTCTCCATCTCCCCAGTGCTAGGGTTATGAATGTGTTGTGCCTTTCTTGTTTCCGTATGGGTACTGGGGACCCACACTCAGGTCTGTCTTTTCACCCCTAGATTGTCATTTCTTTTTTTTTTTTTTTTTTTTTTTTTGTTTGTTTGTTTTTCGAGACAGGGTTTCTCTGTGTAGTCCTGGCTGTCCTGGAACTCACTTTGTAGACCAGGCTGGCCTCGAACTCAGAAATCCGCCTGCCTCTGCCTCCCAAGTGCTGGGATTAAAGGCGTGCGCCACCACTGCCCTAGATTGTCATTTCTAAACATTAAATATAACACCTCTTCAGATTTTCTCTGAGAAATGAGCAGGGTGGCTCACTTGTCATCTCTCAGCACTGGAGATGCTGTGAGGAGAGATTACTGAGTTTAATGTTTTAGAAAATCTAAACAGCCGAAGATTTTTCTGTGATAATTTCCTAATGAAAGGTTACATTGTATTAGAATTTCTTGATTCTGCAGTGATCAAGTCTTTCAATATATATCTTGTCTTTTTGTTAGTTTTTGCAATATACTTTAGCATATATAAGTAACAGGAACTCTTAAAACTTTTTCTCATTTTACATTTATTTGGGGTGGGTACGGTATACATAATGGAAGTTAAAGGACAACTTATGGGAGTGGGTTCTCTTCCTCTGTGTGGGTCCTGGGAATTGAACTCAGGCCTTCAGACTTGCTGACAAGTGTCTTTTATCTGCTGAGCTGTCTGGTGGAGCCAGTAACAGGATATCTATAAAGATATGTGATAGTGGGGGAAGAATATAATACTGTGATTAGATATCTTGGTAAATACATTGTCTCTGGCCTACTAGGCAATTATAGATCTTTACTGTGATCTTACTTTCTAAATGTTTCTAAAGAAAAGAAATGAAAAAAGTATCTAGAGGCTACCATTTGAGTTAAGATTTGCTTTATTTTTAATTATGTATATGTGTGCATGTCTGTGTGGGTTTGTATATGTGATAGATGCTTTTACCTACTGAGCCATCTCTCCAGTTCTTATTTCTCTTCTATTGGTTTTGAATACTCTTTCAGTGAAGGAAGGACTTTTCCTTTAAAATAATAATTTCCTTTGAAATATTCTTTATAGCCAGGTCTAAGATTCAATGGCCCACCACCACCACCACCTCCTCCTCCCCCCTTCTTGCCGTGTTGGATGCCGCCATTCCCTTCAGGACCACCAGTAAGTACAAAAGGACTTCGATTATACTTTATATATATAGTTAGTCATTTTTAGAATGTAGGAAATTAGAGTATGTTGGGAGGCCCTTTGTTATGTAGATGGTGCTCTCACCTCCAAGCTCTGTGCTGTGTGTTTCCCCCTCAGTGGTTATCCAGTTTCCTGCTGCTGGTTTCTGTTAGAAAGGACTGTCCTCACCACACGGAGGACAGATGCTCTGTCCCTTGGAGTACTTTAATGCGAGTCTCTGAGCCTGTACTTTCTCATGGTGGTGCTTCTCTTTTGTCATTGTTTTAGTTTTGCTTTTTGTCTTAATCAAAGTTTTTGGTTTGTTTGGTTTTTAAGACAGGGTTCTCTGTATAAGAGCCCTGGCTGTCCTAGAACAGTCTGGGCTCGAACTCACAGAGATCTGCCTGCCTCTGCCTCCCTAGTGCTGGGATTGAAGGCCTATACCACTACTATTTAGCGCTAATAGAATTCTTATGGTAGTTTTATTTTTAGATATTAACAGTAGTTAAAAGGATATTTTGGGGCAGACTGTATTTGAGTGGGAGTCAGACAGATGTTCTACCCCAAATCTTTCCTTACAGTGGCTATAAAAATGCCATGTATGTGTGTGGGGGTGTGAGTGTGTGTTTTGTGGAAAGACTTGAGTCTCTGTTTTGTGTCTTATGCATAGATTCATAATGGAACAAAAATAGTAAAATCATACTATTAAATGTCAACTGGTTTTGATCTGTTAAATTTGTTGGTCTTTTCTTATTATGGTTGACTTTCTTCCAGTGCTAGATTTTTAAACAAATTAAATGGAAGTATGTCATTGAATATAGGAAAAGTTTCAATTAATATCCATTATTCTCTGTGTAAAATGAATCCCTGGATTTGAGTATTTTCCTAACTGGATTTTTTTCTATTTGCAGATAATCCCTCCACCCCCTCCCATATCTCCCGATTGTCTGGAGGACACTGACGCTCTGGGAAGTATGCTAATCTCTTGGTACATGAGTGGCTACCACACTGGCTACTATATGGTAAGGACTCCCTGGGAGCTTCCGGACATGCTCTTTGCAGTTGTATGACTTATGGTGGTGAGTCTTGCGCCCAGAGCCAGCTCTTGAATGACTAAAATGTGCTTTGTTCTATGGAGCATAAAAACTTAAGGCAGTTTTAAGACTACCTTAACATTTAAAAATGGGCAGTTCCTCTTTCATCATCCCTCCTGAGTGTGATTGCAGTTCATTTCAAATGTCTGGTTTTGTTATTTTGTTTTGTTTTTTCAAGACACTGTTTCTCTGTGTCCTGGAACTCACTCTGTAGACCAGGGTGGCCTCAAACTCACAGAGATCCACCTGCTTCTACGTCCCAAATGCTGGGGATTAAGAGCATACACCAACTCCCGGCTCATTTCAAACTTTTTAATGGCAGTAATTCTAGCACTCAAAAAGCTAAAACAGGTAGATTATAAGTTCCATGCTAGCATGGATACACAGTGAGACACTATCTCAGCAGCAGAACATGTAACAGTGGAAAGGAAGATTTATGCTGTAAGATTATTTGAATTGCACTTTAAAATGTAAGTGATACCTAAATTAGTTCTTAATCTGTTTTTCTGCTTTGTGGATGATGATTTTTGTTTTTCCATTGTGAGATTGGATCTTACTGTATTCTTCAAGCTGGCCTTGAACTCTGTAATCGCCTTACCCTAGTCTCCCGAGGAGCAGGGACTGCATGTGTGCACCATTATTCCTGGACATCTTTGCACTGCCGTGGATAGAGTCTCACACTGACTCATTTGACTAGATTCCCTGGGTGTAGGAGATCACACCCTGGGGCTTGCACAGGCTGGGCAAGCACTACCACTGAGCTGTATCTCAGCCTGGCCATTTTTTGAAGTTCAGTGTTTTGTTGGTAAGCTTAATCTCCACTCTTGTGTATAGCTCTGTTACCTTCCATTGTGTAGATATGTAAGTGACCTGTTTATCCATTCTACTATCAATGGCTATTTATGTTGTTAATTTGGGCCAGTAAAAATGTTTCTGGGGCTGGAGAGATGGCATAGCAGTTAAGAGCACTGGCTGCTCTTCTAGAAGACCCAAGTTCCATTCCCAGTTCCCATAGGGCTGCTCCCAACAGCACTCACCCTGGCCGGTACTTTTTGCTGCAGTCCTAAGAAGCACTTGTTAGGTAGCCATGCTCTTCAAAGTATTGAGGACAGCTCAGAGCTAGCCAGAGAGATGCTTTCCTTTACGAGTATCATCTGTATGTGTGCATTGATGACATTTCATTAGATTAGTTTGCTTAACTTAAAATATCAACATATGACCTTAAGAGGTACGGAAAGTGTGTGTTCCTGGAGTATGAAGTTCTGAGAATTTTACCTTTGAAAAGAGTAGACAGCTTGTAAGTCAGTCTGTACAGTAGCCCAAGACTTCTGAAGCTCCCACTGACTTACATGAGCAGTTCATAGCCCTTGCTGACTGTGGCGTGCCTCTCTTGTAGAAATCAAAGCAGAGCAAGAATGAGTAAGGGTGATGTTTTTATTGCAAGAACATCTTCATCGGTACCAAGTGACTTTCAGTACAGCTCATGGCTGTTGAGGTGTAAATTTAGATGCACTGTGTAGCCTAGGGTGGCCTTCAAATCGCACCAGTCTTCTTGTATTAGCTTTCTGGTTGCTGGGGTTACACATGTGTGCCACCATGCCTGGTTTGGATCAATCACTGTTAAAGTATATTGGAATGCCATAAACTACTTCTTAAAATATATAAACTTCTTTTCTTTCTTTTTTTTTTTGGTTTTTTCGAGACAGGGTTTCTCTGTAGTCCTGGCCGTCCTGAAACTCACTCTGTAGACCAGGCTGGCCTTGAACTCAGAAATCCACCTGCCTCTGCCACCCAAGTGCTGGGATTAAAGGCATGCACCACCACCTGGCATAAACTTCTTTTCTGATGACATTAAATAAAGTTAGTATGTCTCATGAAACAGACTATTTGGTTGTTCTGGTGCTGGAGATGAAGCCCAGGGCCTTGCACATGTTAGGCAAAACCTCTAGCACCAAACTGGTCCCAGTTTTTATGTCAGGGTCTTACTGTTATAGCTCAGCCTTTCGCTGGCCAGGCTGGCCTTAAAGTCAGGGTCATCTTGCTTCAGTCTCCTAAGCACTGGGATCATTAAGCATATATCACTAAATTGGACTTAAGGGTTGTTTTGTTGTATTCTGTTTTGCTTTTTAAAAGATAGACCAGGCTATTGTTGAACTCACAGAAATCCTCTTTCCTTGATCTTCTAAGTTCTGGAATTATAGACATTTGCCACCTCTCCCAACATGAGGCCGAATCTGCTGTGGCGCTGGTAGTTTTAGACTCACCTGTATCTGAAGGTGGCTTTGAACTCTGGTCCGCCTTCCTCCTTGTCTCAGTGCTGGATTGCAGCATGCATCACCAGGCTTGGCATCAAACTGGCCTTGAAGTGTTTACTCACACATTTATTTAGTGTGTACCCTGTTTAACTTTTTATTTGCTCTCTTTTCAGGGTTTCAGACAAAATAAAAAAGAAGGAAAGTGCTCACATACAAATTAAGAAGTAAGTCTCTTATTTTAAAAGCTAGTTTTACCTTTGTATAACTTTTATAGTTTGTGGAAAATTAGTATTATGAACATTTGAAAATTAATATTTATGTGTGAATGTGTGTGTGTGTGTGTGTGTGTGTGTGTGTGTGTGTGTGTGTGTGTGT